CAGTTAGGAGGAGCCAAGGAGTAGCAGTAGAAAGGCTGCAGAAAGAGTCAGGAGCCCAGAGGAGGGGGCAAAGGAGGTGAAGGGGTGGGGGCTGAAAGTGGAAATGAAAGCAGACAACAGAACATTGTTAGAGATCAGGAAAGGATGTGAAAGGAGACAATTTTAGAGAAGAAAATTTTTTTGGTCGCTACCCGGAATCGAACCCGGGACCTTTGAATGAGAGGCCAACACCTAAACCTGTAGGCCACGAGAGCCCCCTTTGCACATTTGAACAGCTAGACGTTGAATGGAAACCATCACCATCTCCGCCGTTCCAAAAGACTTACCGTGTCAGACAGACCCACGAAAGGAAGGTCTCTTTCAAAAGGGCATCATCATCGACATTTGCAGCTTTGTGAGAGGAGAAAAAGGGAATGGGGGGATATAAGATACCTCCTCCACGAGCGGACGCCAAATGCTCACCAAATGTCAGCATACCTTCTTGTCCAATTAAGCTGAGAGAGCTCAAGTGGAATCATGCGTTTCTCAGAACAAGACGCATATGGGTGGTTGACGGGGATCTCTGGTGTGGTCTGTTCTTTCTTTTTTTAATATCAAATATCTATCGTCTTTATCAATCTTTCTTATGGAAATTAAATGAAGACCTCAAGAGGCTCCACAATTACTGTCAGAAACGGAAGATAAAAATAAACTGCCCGAAAACAGTATACACCATCTTTACAAAGAGCCATAAAATAGCCAAAGAAAATCTCCAACTGAAGATAGGAAATGAAAATCTCCCCAAAGAAGAACAACCAACGTATCTAGGAGTCAAACTTGACCAAAGTCTAACAAAGAAAAGCCAAGTGGAGAACATAAGGAACAAGGCGAAAAGAAGACTCCAACTTTTAAAGAAACTCGCAAACAGTTCATGGGGATCAGACAAACAAACTCTGAGAGCTCTATACCTGGGCTATGTCCGATCTTCCCTGGAATACAGCAATAGCCTACTCACTATGTGCAGTACAACTACTTGCAACACCCTTGACAAGGTCCAAAACAATGCCCTTAGTTTTATAAATGGTGGCAGGAGATCCACACCTACCGCCGAATGTGAAATCCTTTCAAATGTTGAACCCCTGGGAAACCACAGAGATAAAGCAGTTTTGGAGCTACATGAAAGAACTAAAAGAAGGTGCCCCAACCACCCAAACAGGAAATTAGTAGAAACATGGAAACCAAAGAAACGAATTCAACAAAAGTCAATCATGCATCACATCACAGAACTAATAGAGAGTCACCATCTACCACAAAACAGAAAAGAAACGAAAACAGTCAACCAAAACATCCCTCCCCACCTTTCTTAAAAAAAGCCAATCATTACAACATCTCTCAGAGACAATAGCTCAAAATCTTCAGACCCAGTGACGCTGATGCTTGCATCACATCAAACAATCGACAGCTATTCAGATGACTGGATACACGTCTATACAGACGGCTCAGCATTCAAAGGCACAACCAAAGCTGGATATGGAATACTAATATAGTATCCAGATGGAAGTTCCAATGAGATCTCTGCAGCCTGTGGATAGAAATGCCGCAACTATGATGCAGTTCACAAGAGAGTGACAAACATACAAAACAAGTAGAGTAAAAATGACCATAGTGAGAATGAGGAAAGAAAAAGCAGCAGTTCCCCCCAAGTTGTTCCGGCACAGTATGAGCATGAAATTGATGAATCAGCCCATTTACAATTCTACTGTGCATAAGAACATGTTAATGTCCCCCATTAATTGGGAATGGCCTAAAGACACTTCAGTCAGTAGCACTGCCCTGGTGGGGGTTGTGCAGTTAGTTAATTACAAGACAGTTTTGTAACGTGTTGAGATGTGTCAATGTGTTAGGGTGTACGTTTAGTTCATGATAAGTTGGATGTAAAACGTGTTCATATTTTTAAATCAGCCAATATCAGGATAACTTTAACGTTATTATAGATAAAATATGTGCCAGTTAGTCAATGTCTAGATATTTTTCTTAGCATTCCAAATTATATATTATTTCAATGGTGTAAAGAGGCATTCACGGCGCCAACGGTCAGCCCCGCGAGTCATAAACCGACTGATCAGATCGTGAATTCCACACAGGGGTGGGATTCACGGTTTCATCGGGCTACTTTTGAGGGCACGGTGTTTATTCACGATTTTTTAAATTACATATTACAAATTATACGTTTGAGTTAAGATAATGGAAAAATAGTTTTACATGGACATGTATCTCACTGAGCACTATCAAAATATGCGAAAAAATGATTTTCGAAACTTTGTGGAATTCACGTTTTTTTTAGGCGACCGACGATATCCGTAAGTTATTGTCACGTCAGTGGGTTTTTTTTAGCGTTCTCAAACAAAATAGTATGTATTTGTTGCTCAGAATCAGGATAGTTATTTTACGATTTTATATGTGTCAATTAGTTAATGACAAGATAGTTTTGTAATGTGTACAGATGTCTCCATCAACGACAAGATAGTTTTGTAATATAAATGCCCAGGCTCCTCAGTTAATGACAAGATAGTTTCGTAATATGCCCAGGCGTCTCAATCAATGACAAGATAGTTTTGTAATATGAATGTCTAGGTGTTTCAGTCAATTACAAGATAATTTTGTATGACAAGATAGTTTTGTTACGTGTGAGGTTTACTCGTTACTGAACCCTATCCGTCGTTTTACTATCGTGTCCATACGACGTGGGGAACTCTGTGCCACCACTTTCCAAAGAGGAACTTTACTCGTTACTTAATCACAAGATACGTCCTACCTTGCTGTGTTGTGCCAGTTAGTTAACACTAGCCCCGCGCATACAGGTACATAGAATAAATTGCCAGCCCATGCCCCCCCTCTCCCTTCCTCTCCCTTCCTCTCCCTTCCTCTCCCTCCCTATTTACCCTCACCCACACCCTCTCGTTACCTGTGCTCTCAGCTTTCTCCTCATTTCCCTCCGCACTCCGTCTTTCCTTTTGTTTTGTCCCGAAGAGAGAAAGGAGAGAGAGAGAGAGAGAGAGATAGATAGATAGATAGATAGATAGATAGAGAGAGAGAGAGAGAGAGACAGAGAGAGAGACAGAGA